CACACAGGCACTTACATGATCGCTGCTGCACACACACACACACACTAAAAATGTACAGTTGAGGGACTTAACTGCTTGTCTGAAAGCCACATTTCAATGGAGAGGGAATGTTTTGTTCAAACTGAGCAGAAATCTGACCTCTTACTGTGGATAGAAGTGTTCCAGTCGGGTTTAAGAGTGTGTTATTTTGGTCGTGGTGGTCTTTTCTTTCTTTCTTTCTTTCTTTCTTTCTTTCTTTCTTTCTTTCTTTCTTTCTTTCTGTCTTTCTTTCTTTCGTTCTTTCTTTCTTTCTCCACCCAAGACCCAAATGGTGCCAACTCTATCCATAGTCTGCTTGACCAACTAGTATGTAGGTCACTTTCTCTTCGTAGTCTACCAGCCGCTGAGGCCTCATCTCTCCGTTGACATTTCCCAGACAGCCCATCAGCTCCTCACAGTTCCCAGCTACCCGCAACACTCCACCACACTGCTTCACACCGTCACTTTTCGACAGCTAACAACGCTGTCAAAGTAGCTCTCCTCTTCCTTCTGTCTTCTCAGTGACTCTATCTTTTTTTTTCCCCTCCTTTCTCTCCACCTGCGTGTTTCACGGCTGTCACATCCATATGCTGTCGAGTCCGTGGGACGACTTTGCTTCTTCGCAGCTTCTCAACCTGTTCGGCTCATTCATTAGGGAGAGCGCTTGTTGGTCCGGTCAAGTAGCATCATCGCTGTGTGATTGTGGTTAATGAGCATCCACGCTTGGGGCTGCAGGGCCTCAGGCTTCTGGTCATCAGATTGTTTCCACAGAGAGGAGTTTGGACAGCACCGTGCCACCAATCCTCAATCAGCTGGCTTCTGTCTTCCCTGCCAGGCTAAAGCTGTTCAGGACAAATGGTCCTGCGGCGCTCACAGCAGCCATTCAGAATGACAGCACTGCAAAAAAAAATAAGCATCTTAATAAGTAATTTAAATCTAATTTTCTAAGAAGAATGGAATGCGATACATCTTCATACTTACAGTCAAAATCTTGACCTGTTGGGCTTGTTATGAGTTCAGTTTGAAGGCAGTATGACCCGCAAAATCGCAAGAATCCAGATGGACCTCTACAGGAAGGATTATCATGTTGCTGTTGTTGTGTAAAAGAGGCTTAATGACTTTGACAGTTGCAGCAGAAGTAGATGGTGATTGGCATTAGATGCATGATGATAAAGTGTCAACTTGTGAGAAGCTTTTGTTAACCTGCTGCATATTTGTTGCCACGGCCTTTGAGTAAACCTCGCATTGTCAATTGTTTTGTGGTTGGAGGTATAAGAGAATTAAACTGGCCCACCTTTGGGAGTGGCACCGAGACACAGATAAGATAAGATAAAGATAAAGAGACTTTATTGTCATTGTGCAGAAGTACAACGAAACTTGTGTGGAAGAACACGACAATAGCAGCAGTGCAAATAAGAATAAAAATAAGAATACTATAAAAATAAGAATACTAGAAATAAAAATAATTTAAACAAAGTACTATATACACAAAGCATTATATACAATAACACACAGTGACCCATACAGGGCAGAAACAGAGTGACCATTTTCAGTGGTACCCTGAGCCTTGTCCAAAGTGTGGTAGCAATTTAGCTGAGCAAATTCATGAAACTGCTGAAACTCTATGTAGTGTTTTCCCTTATTATGTCTTGTTTCAAGTAATTGTCTCATCATTTTGACTTGTTTGCTTTCCCAGACTGTCCCACTGCGACTGTATTTATTTCAGTTGTGTAGTTTCTTTCTGTATAAATTGATAATGTTGGTGAAACTCTCTATAGCCAGCCATTTTCTCTTGTAATCATTGTGTTCTTTTGCTTTGGCCAGCTCCCAACAGAACACAATTGCCTCTCCCACAGGCACTGTTTATGTACATGCCAGTAGGTGTGCTTGAGTGCATTCCTTCATACAGTATATTTATATGGTCTTTGTGTGTAAGAAACAGGGCACATGTGGATATTTGTGTCTGCATGAGTGTGATCTCAATGCCGGCCTTAGTGAGCCACTGTGTTTGCTTATCCTCCCTCTAGTCTTGGGGTTTCATTTCATGTAACGTTGCTCAATTCGAAACAGGTCCGAAACAGGCTCAGCGCAGGGACCCAAGCAGCTGGCAGAAATAAATGTAATGAGTTTTTCAGCATTGTAGCAGTGCTCCGAGCCCCTTTGAATTATAGAGATGTGGAGCGCCGGAGCATAGCTGCCGCCTGTCCACCCAAGGGAAGGTGCACCAGGAAATACTCTTAGGCATCAATCAGCTTGGGACGGAAGATGAAGAAGGATTAGATAGTGATGTCATAAATCCACTTTCTCTCCAGGAAGTGTGTCAGCAGTGGGAATTCTTACAGACTTTCCAGAGGATGGAATGGATTTGACTGAGGCAGTTGGAGGTGGAAATCCTTTGCTGTAGGAACCCAGAATGATACCTAATAATTTTCAGCCTCTAAAGTAATACTGCGGTGCTGTAATGTGAAAACCCGCACAAAGTCAGTATTACGAAACATCTGTCTATGAAAGAAGTTAATGTGCCTTTGCTGCTGTGCCAAAAGCCATTGCTTAACTCTCTTTGATTGGAAAACAAAGAAAATAGCAGTGACTGATACTGTAGCTAATAAACAGCAGATTTTTCCTTTGATAAATCGACACCATGTATGATTTTGGCATACGAGTACAGTGCCCGTATTTAGATGTGGAATCAACAGAGACAAGCGCTGCGGAATCCAAAGTCCAGACTGGAATCCATAACCTCCCTGGATTAAGTAGATTCCCCTTAATTCGTACATTTGGAATACTGTCGCTGTGCATGTGTGTATGCCTTCACATACCAAAGTTACTTTCCAGTCAAAACTGATGTGAATTGCAGTCACTTTCCACCACCTAGAACAACAGGACACCTTCACAGACTGAGAAGTTTCCCCAGAGACTGAAAACTACTTCATCATCAGATCAGCCAAACAAAGCTGTAACACTATATATGAGTTATATGCTCTAATCATAAACCTCAGGGTCTATTTTATTAGGAACAGTTTCCTTTTTATGCAAAATGCTTGGGACAGTGAATCTCAAAAACATGCTCAGTATAACATTAAACTGTAGAAGGTCGTGTCGGTGCTGTTTGCACAAGTCATCAATCTTGAGGAAGATGAGCTACAGTGGGAACATAATTACCTGAACAGTTTCAAAGACTTTGCAAAACTTTGCATGGTGTTTGCATGGTGCATGTTTCAAAATGCCAGTGGGAAAGGTCAGAATATGTCATAAACTCGGCTAGTTGAAACATCATAGGCTCCTGGTGGCATTTGAGCATTGCCTAAATGTCACATATGCTGAACAGGTGCAGGCAATAAGAAGATAATGCAGCATCATTTGAAGATGCTTCCCGGAACAGTTAATTTAGTTCAGTCACGTGAGATGAACCAATACATCATGTTGAGATGTTGTTGCATAACAGCTTTGATAAGTCAGCTGTGGAGTACATGCAGAAACTATGGCTGTTACTACTGGACTGAACAAAAAACACATTGCTGGAGAACAAACTTGTGTTTTCAGTTGTTAATGTGTGAGTTATTTTTCCACATTTTCCTCCTGCCACCCTTTACTTGTTTTCTATCTTTTTCCTTTTTCGTGTCCTCGGGGTGTCGTCAGCGTTGACCACCCTGAAGATGAGACATTGGGAATCCAGAAGTGTGTGTGTGTGTATGTGTGTGTATCTGCGTAAGCACCTGTAATGAGCACCACATGTGTGTGTATCGGAGCCCAGGCTAATGAAGCCCAGTCCATTATTTATTTTCCCGTGGCCCTGTCGCTTGGCCTGTCGATGCACCTGCGTACACACACACATGCATGCATGCACACACACTCACCATCTGTCTATAATGACCATTCTCTCTCGTACTGCATAGCGCTACAGTCCCTCGAGTGGTCATTAGACGAGTGAGCGAGAGAGTGACTGAGGGAGAGAGACCAGTGCTTTGAGTGTAGATTTGGAACCAGTTTTTTGGTTTTGCTTGGGGAGGCTGGGGTTGGGGGGGCAGGGGGGTCAGGGTAGGGTGGATACATAATGTTTAGAAAGTGCATTAGAGGAGAGAAACTCTACATATTTTGATTTCTCTCACCACCCGGGAGGCTTGTAGGATTTGCGTGCTTTGCCTGTTTTGTTTTCCCGCTGTCATGAGAATACAATCTGCTACTGAAGTTAAATATGAATCTTCTTCAGTCTTCTGCAGCCGCAAAAGACAAAACAAACTGTTCTTATATCGGCAGGAATAACTGAATCCAGTCACAGTAAAGTTCAGCATGCTACAATTGGAGTTATCAAGTAAACACATTTTTGGAAAGACTTTGAATTTAACCTTTCTTTTTCAATTAATTTGTCTCTCCCTGCTTTTGCAGCGATGGCCAGCTCTCAGCAGGGAGGCTGCTCCCATTATATCCACAGCACTTAGCTTTCTGGCCTTGTGGCCCTACCCAAATCCCCTCTGCTAGCTCCTGCTAATCCCACCAATTGTAGGACATGGCAGACAGAGACCGGGGGGAGGTTTGTGTGTTGGTGGGAGAGGGCTGGAAAAAGAAAGACAAACAGCCAGCTCAAATGTGGCTTCCATTTTAATGGGGCTTCTTAATATCTCCCAGCGGAGTTGGAACCGAGCGTGAACTTCCCCTTTTGCACAACCCTCCTGATTCTGCCCAGCAATATATGTAACACTTAACATCACAGCAATTTGCATTTCATAAAACCACCAGCATTTAAAGACATCCTCAGCATATATTAAACCAGAATATTCTTTAGTAAAAAAGCTAATGTGTGAGTGTGTCTGAAGTGTGGTAGTTGTGTGTGTTGCAAAGCTCTAGGTAAGATTTTGACTCAGGTATCAGTAGACAAATATGCCTCTGTGCTGCTGTCTGCTCCTTTAGTCATCAAGCTGAACAGGTCCACAGGGAGAATAAAGATTAATTATTAATTTATGTTTGCGTGTCTCTCTTTGCAGGGAGCTGAATGGGAATAACCTCACACGCATCACCAAGAGTGACTTTGCTGGACTGAAGTACCTCCGAGTTCTGTAAGTACTTTCCTTCATGTTCATGTGTGATGATGAGATGTTTGTATGTGTATCTGTGGAGCATGTCGGCGTCTGACTTTATCTATTCATGCATACCTGAGTTGTATCTAAGCCTTGCAGCTTGCAGTTATACAGACTTGCTGCTGAAATTAGCATAAACCCACTGAAGTGCGATGCATTCGTCAAGAGTCCTACTCCAAAGTACATTAAGCTACTGAGTGACTGCAGCTAGTGATGTAATGGACTTCTCTCTCACCGTATTCTGCCCGCTGTAGTTGCACTTATTGTCCCTTAGACACACACACACTCACTTGCCCTCTGTTCCCTCACATCAACATGTAATGTGCACACAAGCGCCAGTCCTAAATAGGCCCTCAACACAGTTAACACATTCAGGTGAAGTCATTGGCTCCCTCTCCGGTGAAATTAAACAGCACTTGTGACTTCAGGTAATAAAGTAGTTGTAAAAGTGTCTATATGTGTACATGTGTGCGCGCGGTGCCATAGGTGTTAAAACCGCTGCCGGAGGGGAAGCTGCGTAGACCCGAACATGTTTTAAATGTAACACTAGCTGAGCATAATTCCTACTATCCAGCAAAGCCTTACTATTTTCAAGCCTCATCGTTACTCGCCCATCCCCCTGTTCCTGCCCTTCTTCTCCCAGCCTCAGCTCGCCAGGTCTCACCGCTCCTTGTCCCCTCTCGTCTCCCTGTGCATGCCTCCTCCTCTGCTCCACGTTCTACCCCCATGCTGAGGTTAAATGCCTTCATGTCACCAGCTTGTTGCAAGCAAGTAAGAAGGAAACAACTCCTTGCAAGGGTACTAAGGACAGAACTTCCCTTTGCTGTGAACCCCTGATTCTCTGACACTGCCACCACTGTTCATACATGTATCACACACATGCACACACTGCTCACATTCTGACATGTCTGCCAACTAATACACATAATGCATGATTAATGTGGTGTAGGTTCATGACATGTCTGTGTGCAACCATAAAAAAAAAAACTCCATCTGTGTGTGTTGCTTCTGTGTGGCAACAGCATTAAGACCAGCAGTGGGTTGACCTCTGATACCGCTGACCCCTGGGCAACCCTCAGAAGGAAAAAAAAAAACAGGAACAGAGGTTTATCTTTACAGTCAGCTGCCATCTATTCTGTCAGTCTAAAATCAACACAGCTGATTTACCTCCATTCATTTGGCCCTGGGTCATTGCCTGTTCTAAATCAGCAATGTGTGTCTCTGTGAGGATGAAACAAAACAAAGAAATGAACAATCGGGAGAAAAGTAGATAGAAAAAGATCAGAGAAATTGAAAGCTACATGCCCTCAGGAAGTCTGAAAAAAAAAAAAAAAGTTTTTCTCAATTCAAAAGTGCTCATCACAATTTTTTTCGCTTCCATCTAAATTCATGAGAAAGAGATCTGAGGTGAATTGCACTTTTCTCTCCATGTTTATGGAGTGTGAAAAGTGATTAGCATTTATATTCGATGGGGAGGAAGCCCAGACTGCTGAGTTGCAGCGCGCCTCGGCCTCACAGGAGACATGAGAGGTTGCCTTCAACACAGAACAGTTGTATACGTAATGAAGGAAAGTGCTTGTTGCTTCTAAAGCTGCTGGACACTTTTCTCTCCTTCCTGACTTTGTGTTATTGTAACACTTCCAAAACCATCCAAGCCTCTTTTTTTGTGCGTTAGCTTTGGCAGTGTAGGTGAGGAAAGGATGTGTTCCTGCTTGTGCGCGTGCATTCTGTGTTTGTGTGCATCCATGTTTGTTTGTGTACGACTAGTAGCCTTGATGTAGTGCCTGAAACTCTGATACTCTCCAACTATGCTGTCCAGCATTCCCACACACACACACATCCCACTTTCCCTTGATAGTGCCAGTTGTAAAAACCTTGGAGCCCACCTCAGCCTTTTCTGACCCCCTGCCTACTTTTCGTCTCGTCTCCACCCAGCTGCTACACCCAGTGGACCACACTAGAGCCCAGACCCACACTTTCTGAGCCACCTTGGAAACTTTCCTGGCTGCTACCCCTGCTTCCTTTGCCAAGATTCCACACTGTGCCCTCAGTCCACGCCACTGCCCTCAGTGTGTGTGTGTGTGTGTGTGTGTGTGTGTGTTTGTGTGTGTGTGTGTGTGTGCGAGGGAAGTGTTGAATATACCGCACCCGACTTTAATATACATACTGTGAGAAGTCTCGCCACCCAAACCCCAAAGCCCCCTATACTTTATTAAAGTCAGAGTGACCGTCTACAAACTCGTACGAAAGTCAAAGTCACATAGTTTTTCCTTCTGTCCTTTCCTGCAGGCAGCTGATGGAGAATCAGATTACTGTGATCGAGCGTGGGGCTTTTGATGACATGAAGGAGCTGGAGAGACTGTAAGTACCACCCAGGGCTGTGTGTGTAGATAGGCTGAACACATTTTTTATTTCTTCTCTAAACTTGAACCCAAAATGAAAATCCCACCCTTCCACTGATTTGTTTTCAGTGCTTGTATTAGTTGAAGGTAATGAGACTAACAGGAGGAACCAATTGTAAATGGTGGGTCAAGTGTGAGGCACTTCCCTGTCATTCCATTGTGGTTGGATGGTGCTGAGAGGGTACAGTGTGGGCTGGGAGTACTTTTATTAGCTTTGCCTGACAGGAATGCCCTCAGTGGGATATGTGGGCTTAAAAGGCCTCCCCCACCGCAGACCTTGGCTCATCTGGACAGCACCAGGACTCCCCCAACAGCTTGTAAACTGGCTGGGAAAACACACAGACAAACACAATCAACCACACCTCAACCAGCTCATTAGTAAATCAATAGTGTTACCCACATGGAAACCTGCACAGCAGATGACTTTATGGACACACGCTGTCATGCAGACACGGCGGTTAACTTCTAAAAGACTTTCCCCCCGATCTGAAACCCACATTAACAATCTACATTACCAAACTCGAGGCCGTGCGCAGCTCGCCTTCCCTCCTACTCCATATTCAACTGATCCCAAACATTGGCTAGACATTTCCATGTGCCAGACCAATGTGGAAATTAAGTGGCTCATTTCTCTAATGTTTAAAAGCCACTAACCCACCAGCAGGTACAGTTCAGTGTGAACGGAGCAACAGCAGCAGACCATTAATGTCCATTATGCACTAAATCTCCACCTTGGCTGGCCAAGCACTCTTCTCAGTGTATACAGTGAGTGGCACAAGTCCCAACATCTGTCTGAATGTGTCTGAAGGCAGGGCAGCGGCCTGCCTTTCAGATTTGCAGCCTCTCTTTGCCACAGCCACAGCATTCACTCCTATGTGCCTCCAATGGGCCATTCAGAAAGGAGAGAGTTGTGGTTTCCAACAGATTAGCAACAGTCTGTTCCTCATTGACTTAATTGTTGTATTTGCATAAAGCCTGCCAGTCTTGGATGTTAGTTGTTTGACATGGAGTCTGTTGCCAACCAACCATTCCTGTCGGTGCTTCCTTGGGCTAGAATGGTCTCATCCATTTCTCTTAATTTTATTTAGAAACATCTTGTTTTGATAGTTCACCCCCAGATAAAATGCATTCATGTTCATATAACTGGTGGATGTAATTCAATTGTTTAAATGGGAATGTTGCTTTTCTGTTGTTCTGGGAAAGTCAGCAGAACACTGAATTCCACAAGGCACAGCATTGTAATTTAACTGTGCAGAGATAATTTACGACACTGTCTCTGAGTAACAGTTTAATTCCCCTGAACTTTCAGTTGGATATTTATGTGACATCCAGAGCACACTGAAACACAATAGCCTGTGGCTAAGCTGATTCTACGGCAGCTAGAAGAAATTATTCACAGCCTACACACTCAAGGACACATATGCATAGACACACACACGCACACACAAACTCACTGGTTGATCATACGTTTTCCCTGCCGCAGGCGGCTGAACCGTAATCAACTACAGCAGCTTCCTGAGTTGCTGTTTCAGAAGAACCCTGGCTTGTCTCGACTGTAAGTACATTCGCTTTTTTTTATTTCAATTACTTTTTTGTCTCTGTCAGCACACACTCCATTCCTCTTTGTCTTTTCTTTATTATGCAAGCCGCCAGTGTTGCTCAGAGATGTACTTGTGATGAATGTCCGCATTGGTTTCATTTGGTCTAAACACAATTAAAGAACAATCAGGATTCAATTGCACTTGCTGGAATGGACATCGGGACTCATTCATACATTCAGAGTTATTAGTGTGTGTCAAGACTCCTTGTATGTAAGACAAAATGAACTGGACGAGTGGAAATCTGAGTTCTTTGCACGTCGTTGGGCCTTCATGCCAAGTCGTCTGCAGTTTCTCTGTCTTAATCTCTCTGCAGGAGAATCCACTGGTGACAGGGAGTTGATGTGACATTGGGAATTGAGCTCAGGGACACATTATACTTTGAACTCAGTTCCAGGTATAAGGATGTCTGCGTTACCTAATGAGGTCTTTTTTATGTCGAGTCCCCAAAGCTCTCTCTGCCAGTAGACTCCACCTTCATCATATGAATGAAATGTGTCATTGCCGTTTTTGTTTCGTTCTTGTTAAGACCAATCCCATACTGTCACACACCCACACATCCTTCCTTCCATCATACACCCCATGCAGTGAGACAATCCCACAGTAATGCTAAACTTTTATTCCCATCTGTAACAAGGCACTTTTTTTTTTTTTTTTTACATTCTTTAGAATAATCAGTGTCCCTGTTGCTAGCTGATCATTCCAACTTCCATTATTTCAGTTCAGATTACCTGGAGCATCTGGGAATAATGAAACAGTGGGACATGGAAAAATCATTTCCCTCCCTTCTATTCGCATAGTGGTACCACTAACCCATGATCCCAGCCTCAGCCCTCCATCTGTTTATCTTGCGTTTGATGTTTAACACCATCTTGAATCTATCTGTCACTTCCTTGCAACTATCTCCCCACATCACCTATCATTATGCCACAGTCCGCCTACAGGGCTTTAGGGCAAAGCCTCATCCTTTGGGGCAAGGTCGGCCTTTTTGTGGCTTGCAAACACTGAGCAGCACTGAGTTGTCTTTCTAGCTGGAACAGAGACAGAGCAGACCGAGGCCTTCCAGACCAGCGGATGGCCTTGAACAAGCGTGATTAGTCCATCTGGAGCAGCGGGCTCTGCCAACAGCCAGAGGATTGCGCTAACACAGCTCCCCTGTTTCATCCAATCTAGCTTCATGGTCATTATTCTAAACCTAGCGCTGGCTTTTCTGCCACGTTCTGGAGAATGAGACTTTGTTTAACATTTCTTAATCGATTCGCTATGTGTCTGTGTATACACTCATTTGTTCTTTATCCTTGGCTGGATAAAAGAGAGCCATAATGGACCTTGAAGCTTTTCAGGTGTGGAAGTGCTATACATTTTTTAACAGTTAAAACAAATGTTGAATCCACAGGCATGGAATCGATAATAATGTAATCTTCATGGTGCCTGTGGCTGATTGACAGATACTCCAATGTGAAAGGCTTCTAGTGCTTGTTAAATATTTGGACTAGTAGCGTGGGATCAGGGACAGCAGTAGAAGACAAAGTTTTTTCCTAAGGTGTTTCTGAACTCCTAAGTGGTGTGTCTGGGCCACACCATGGGTTCTGGTTGCAGTCTGATGCGGTTAAGTTACAGCCTCGTCTTGCTCCCGCCAGCAGCTTTTAATGGACTTAAAAGGTCTTCATCTCCCAGAGGAAGACTTTCGCCGCTATTTCATGTGTGCATTAATGCGTGTGTGTGTCTGAGGACGACAGAGAGCGACAGACAGACAGAGAAACAGAGTCTACGGTTGCACATGTATTTGTGTGTGTGTGTCTTTGCACTTGCTCAAAGAGCTCACTGGGGCTTGTTAGGGTCTGCCTTTATGATCCCAACAAGAGAGGTTAATGTGAAAGCCCGCTGCCCTCAGGTGGAGCACTAACCCAGATGGTTTCTCTTCTCCTGGAAACAGGATTAATTGCTCCCTTTACCCTTTTCTGTACTTTTACACTCTTTCTGTCTGTGTCTTCTACTCCCCTCTTTTTTTTTTTCTTTCTCTTTTTTTTGCTCATTCTGAAGTGAGGGTTTCAGGGAAACTTGGATAACAAAGTGGCTATTTTTCGTAGACATCCTGCTGAGAGGACAAACAGAGAGAAGGGCAAAGGGGATGGAGGGAGCGAGGGATGGCAGATGAGATCGTTGCTCTCATTAAACTTTAGAGGAAAAGCTACCGGGTTAATAAAAGGCTGTTGGTTAAATGAGCAGTGGAGTGTTGTTTTGTGGGGAGTTTTTAAACACTTGATCCCATGCAGTCATTAAGCTAACAGTGTAATGAGTTTTCACTACAAAGGGAAGTGTTCTTGCTAGAACACTGATTTTGAAAAAGGGCTCCTTAAACCGACAAAGAAAAAAACAACTTATTCATATTTATTCATTTGTGCTTTTTATTTTTTGCAACAATGCTGCTGAGGCTGAAAACTTAGGAGGCTGAAAATGTCTTGAAAATGTAGGTTGCACAAGTATATTTCACAGAGCTATGTGTTTTTGCTTTGAGTTTTGAGAGCCTACCTCTTTATCTACACCCCCGCTGTGTCTCTTCCCATGCCTGAGAGATACCAGAGACACTGATGCATGAGGGGCACAGCAAAGATAATTGGAATTGATTAGAGATGATTAGAGATAGTTAGAGTTAGTTAAAGCTGCCTGTGATGGATGGCACCAACAACAAGGCACGGGAACAGCGGCGCAGAGGTGAGAGGCGCAGCGCTGAACACCGGTGAACAATAACAGTGAAAATAGAGTTGCATTCATCACTGTTAACGACCTGTTGCCCCCATCCCACCACCCTCGACTTCTCCTCATCCCACTTCCACTGCACTTCAGATCTGTAATCTACTCATCCATGTTTGTAATTAGTGTCTTTTCGCAGTGGGAGAGCGGGAGGAAGGAAGGACTGCGGGATGGAGGAAAAAAAGAGGCATAGGTGAGCAGAGTTGGAGGAGTGCAGTGCACTTAGGCTGATAGCTGGCCCCGGGGAATAGCATCTGGTTTGGACTCAGGATGGGGGGTTCGACGAGGAGGAGGCAAAGGGGTATTTTGCGGTTTTTGATTACCATGTTGCTCCTTGCTGCCACAAACAAATACCAGCACCAACACGGGTTTGTTTGAAGGGGTGTTGCTTCCATTAATGGCCAACGTGCTGTATTACGTGTTGCTGTGAGGGGATGGTAAGCAAAGGTTTTCCCTTGTCTATCTCCCCGGGAGGTATTAGGGAGGAGGAGGGAGGATTGAAGGGTGTGGTAGTACCTGCACTACAGGGGAGCCGAGGAAACCCTGGCAAAGGATTGGAGAGGAGGTGTGTCTCATCCTTGTCTAAGATCCTTTTTCCTATCTTTCATTTTCATGTTAATGCCTGGCAACGGGTATCCCGATGTACACAAACCCTAAACACACACGCTGAAATGCTGGCTGGGACACACGGGCGTATGCGCACACGCACGAGAGAGAGAGAAAAAAAGAGGGAAAATGTAAATAACACTAATTAGACACAAGCACACACACAGAATAACACTATAATTACATCTCTGTGTGCTAATGTGTGGATGGCATGCACACACAAGGGATTACGTTCTTTCTATGGCTTTGACTGTAGATAAAAGAGCCGCTTCAACTATGTGTTGATGCAGAGCTGCCTCCTCTGTGTTTGTGTTGGAGGGATGCTGTGTTTTCTGTTTGTTGATCGCTTGATGCTTAGGGAACGGTAGCTCAGTGTGAGAAGAAAGAATTGTATGGGGGAAGGAGGTCTAGAATAAATAATGTGCACTATCATTAAACCTATAAATCATCTCTCTGTCACAGTATTCCCACTTGTTTTTGACTTTGTTGCCACTGAATATACAGTATTTTCCCTTTTCATTTGCTTCAGATTGATTGGCTTGTAAACCCACTCTCGTGTTCCAAGACTTTTTGTGCCACAAAGCAAGCAAATTAACTCTTTTGACTTCTGACTTTTTGTGTATGACTGCATGAAAGACTGGCGTGAATGTGTTTTTTTCTTCTCCTCGTGACTGTTTTTAAGTGTTTGTATAATACTGCGCTGTGTGTGCAACTGCGCATGCATGTGTGTGTGTGCATCTGGCAGGCTGTTAATGCTCCAAGCTGGTCTTGTCGTTTCCTTCTCTTTGTCTCTGCTGATGAATGACCTGCCTCAATGTGCTAGGTCTCTCCCTCTCCCTTAGAGGACTGTTTGGGCCCCCGCTTGGCAGCAGTCCCCATGGCAACCCATCTTCATCAGGAGGTTTCTGTGCCATCAATGGCAGACATCCTGATTTCTTGACTGTGGTTTGTCTGACACTAAGTAAACACTGACAGAGTTAAGCTAACTTCAGACATCAAAATACCTGCATGCACAAAAAGAGTCAGTTCACCCAGAATCATTATGTGTTTTAGCTCACCACCAGATCATTTTGGTTTCGTTGACTCAAGTTTTGAAATGTCAATTTCCGAGATTTGTGGTGCTTGCAGTGCTGAAAATGGAACAGTTGTATATCTTGTTCGGACTTCAAGTTGTCCACTTTGATGGATTATCCAGAGCAACAGGGACAATGTTTTGGTAAAGAGCTGCATTTGCTGAATTCTAAAGTTCTGTTTTTTTATTGCTGCCATCAAAAAATACATTTATTCCCATTGTTCCTGGGAGAACTGAGACAAACACATCAAAACTGTTTGCGTTGCTGTGCACTGTTTGAGTTAAGTGAAACAATATGTATTTTAGTGAACTAATTTAAGTTGTAACTTTTAAAATAAAAGCATAAAGTTTAGTTTTTGTAAGAGTTTGAAATACCTGACCCAACAGCCAACCAAAAAATACCAACCAGGCAGGCTTTAACTCCTTGCCCCTGCCCCTCTTCCTGCCCCTGTCCTTGTCAGCTGGTAAAAGTGGCTTTTATGGCTTGTCACTGTTTTCTTTACGAGTCGGACCGTGTGTGAGAGA